TCGCAATGGCATAATAATAGCGGTAACGTTAAACTTTATTGAAAGAGCAATTGTACAAATGCGAAGAAAAATTCACGTATCAAAAGTTAAAAAAAAAATAGTTGCCCTAACAAAATTAATTTCAGTAAATATCCCCGACGACGTTCCATACATTTGATTTGGAAAGGTAAAGCGTACGCTTTTCATTACTATTGTAGAGAGACGTATAAAGAATTTCATTGTATGAGCTATGTTTTTCTTTTCCTGTTAAAAAAAACGTTAAGCTTACTGTTTAAATGCCTTGCCTGTTTCGCTGAATTTTTAAAGTTTTCAATTAAATTTGTATAGACGCGTGCATGGGAAAAGTAGTTTTTGCTTGTCACAGCTGTAAAATTATTTTATAATTTCATTGAGAATTGCAGAAAATTTTAAATGAAGTGCCCTTAGCGTGAAACATTCTAGTATCTTCTCACCCTTAGACAACATAATTGTTCACTAAATCAATGAATGAATGATCAGTTTGAGCTTTGACACTGTGTGCACTCAAGTAAGATCCTTAGAAAGCTTTTAGAAGCTTTTCACGCGGTATATGTTTTGGACATCTCTGCACTAAATACTGGTTTGAGCTTCGAAAGTTCATTTGTTTTACTTCAAACGATGACTAGCGCTTTCACTGTTTCTGTATGAGTTTCATTCCAGGTTAACAAGGACAATGAAATATTTGGCCTGAACGCGTCACAATGGAAGGTAATCATAGCAAAAGTAGACGCCAATAAAGTTACGCAGGAAGACCTCTTTTCGGCTATAATGCGCTGGTACAAATACAATGCCGGCGTGCGACAACAAAACTTACCCGATATGATTGGTTCGCTAAGGCTAGACGAATTCGAGACGGAATTTATTGAGAAGCAAATTAAACCATTACCTGGCTGTGAGCGCCTGGCCATGGAAGCGATTAAGAAACGTGGAGATTCCATCTCTTGGCTAGCTGTACAAAATTTCGGAGAAGTTAATATGACCTTAATTTCTTATGCGAATACAATTATTAAACAATTTTTGGATAATACAGGATTGGTTGGGTGTCAAGGATATATTACGTTTCAACCAAGCTAAGGAAATATGGGAGAAAGCTACCAGATTGGAAATAAAAAGATATGGCTTTGATACAGCTTTCATTGAAAATTGCTTCATTTTCATTGGTGGTCGTAGTATTAATGGACCCAGTAAAGACGTTGTCAGCTATAATTTGCTAACTAAAGAATGGACTACACTATCATCAATGCAAGAACATCGTAGTAGTGTTTGTGTTGTCGTTTTGAATAAGTACATCTATGCAATTAGTGGAAAAAATAAAAGAGGCGATGCATTAACTAGTGTAGAAAGGTAAGCGATGTTCACTTCAGTGATGTGGTTGGTATGTACGATCACTTACATATCGTCGCTGGAATAATGAAATAGTGTAACATGAAAAGTATAGTTTTGAGAAAAACGAATTGGAAGTATTTATAAACCATTACAATCCATACAAATACAGTTTCGTTTTTCGGGAATAAATTAGTGAGCCAAAGAGATTTAAGAAAACTAAAGATTTTTCTAATAGATTAAATGATTGTCTATCCAATGGTGCGACGATATGTGCGACGATATGTACTCGTATGTACCTGTTGAGAAAACTGCCCCTAATCTTTTACTTAGATTCGATTGGTCAACTGGTAGATGGCAATATGTGGCTAATATGCCACGTTTTGCTGAAGCTGCTACAGTTTTAAATGGCGACATATATGCATTTGGCGATATAGACGTTGCACGCTATAATTCAGCTACCAACAGATGGGAGCAACGCAGGTCAATGTTGGATAGACGCTACTCACCAGCTGTAAGTATGGACGTACAAAATGAGCATTAATTTTTATTTGAGTGATATTTGGTTTCGGTAGAGCGTAAAACTATGAAGGTAAATTTATCGACGACATTGATTGTTATAGAAAACGATAACGATTAATGTTTAATAACGATACAAAAGTCGATTACGATTAAATTGGTACATTTCAGATTTGTCGAAGAGTGAAATTCCGAAGCACACGAGTTGTAATTTAAATTTTGCTCTGAAAAGGTCTTCAAGCAATTTCTATAGCCATGCAGCGTCCTCTTTTAAAATTTTCCAAGTAAGAAATAGAGTAAAAAACAAGGCAAATAAGCTTGAATTACAAAAATAAGCATTTACAGTGACTATTTTCCCTCGAGGAAAATCTATGTCCTTATCTCTCAAGGGTATTTTTGTGTTAGAACTCAATATCGCCCTTAAAATTTCATGAAATTCAATGATTGCGGCAAAATTAAGAAGAGTGGAAGCACGCGTACGTGCGAAAAATAGTCGCGTTGTTAAAATTTAGTTATTTCGTTAAAAAAAGTTTTTGTAGAAAGCTAAAGCGCTGTATCAGCGAATCCATCTCCACACTTTCCATAATACCTACCCTGTAAAATTTATTGATTGGAACACAATTTCGAAGGCCAGCCTAACCGCTTTAGGTAAATAATATAAAGTTGTAAAGGGTTGCCACTTTTTAAAATTTTAGTGAACTAAATTGATGCATATATTAGGTAAAATGTTCAGAAGTAATTATTTGAAAGAGGGTTGCCAACTACATAAAAATTTAAATCTCTATGCATAAAACAAAATTGCTTACGTAAGACAGAGAAAAATGGAAAATTTCTGAAAAATTAATTTTCCATAGATTTAAAATTTTGAACGTAATATTACATTTCAAATGGCAGCCCAAGTTTAAAATTGCATCAATGTTACCTTTTGCGGTCAGGGCAAGATTTCTGCGCAGATAGTTGAAATTCTTCGAAACTAGGGATATTCACCGAATTGAGCAAGTGACGTGTGACCTGGTACTCGGGTAAAAGAGCTGATTGGCTCAAAGCAACGAAAGTTGTCAAAGTTGCTGCTTGAGCTAATTAGCTCTTTTGACCGAGTGCCAGGCCAATTTCTCAATTGGTTGAATACCCCTAATGTAATTTCATTGTTCGAAAACCATTATGAGGCCGATCAGATCAACTTTTTTTTTTACTAAATAAT